TGCAACTTTAGGGATCTTATCTATTCACGAACAGCTTGTAACACTCCAAAGAAAAAGGAAAACTTGAAATCGCATCGTATGACCCCTTTAAAATGTCTTATTTTGTGCTTAACAGAAGAAACAAACTCATACAGGTTTGAAAAAACAGGGTGAGTAAATGATGACAGAATTTTAATTTTTGGGTGAGCTACCCCTTTAATTAGTGCTTCTCTGATTATGCATTTTGACTGTGTCAGCAGCAGTTTCAAGCTCACAACCTAGATTAGCTACAACAGGTAAACGTGTCAGCAGTGTGGACTCACCAGCTCAGTGCTAAAGAACTTTACTATGACATGAGTGAACATGACACCCATAACAGCATAAAGAGTTTAATTACCCAAATTTAATTACTGAAACTTTGTTTTTCGTTTGTTTTTAGTTTGTGTTTTGGTTAAATAATTTCGATGTATCACTAACAAGAATCTTTCTCTTTTCCATACAAAAACAGTATACAAAAAGCACAATAAATGCAGCTCATACAACTAATGTGCTATGTTTTAGGTTTTATGATATATCATTGTGTGACGAACAGACTGAAATTTCAGTCATTGTTTAGTCATGGACCACTTTTATTGTGCTTTTTATATTTCTGCTTTTTTTTAGCTTGTGATGAACTCCTTGTATGGAAAAGATCAATGTGAAAATTATAGATTCTTTTTTTTTTTCTTTCACACAAGAATGGTCCAAGATAGTGTTGTCAAAAGACCCGGTATTTCGTGACTAAACTTTTGGGTGAAACTTGTTTACTTTTTTCTTACTTTTATTACTTGTGGGAAAACTTGAAACACTTTTAAATAAGTATAAAGAATGGCATTGGTTTTGTACATTGAATTTTTGTTTAACGTTATTAATAAAAATGTTGTTCAATTAGCATGTTTTTGTGTTTTGCTTTGGTACCGAAATTGGTACCGAGAACCGTGGATTTTCACTGGTATCGGTACCGAATACTGAAATTTTGGTACTGTGACAACACTAGTCCAAGACAAAGATAAATAAGAGTCATTTTTTTAAGTGATCCTTTTATTTTTTCAGTCTTCGGACGACTCTCTGTGTCTCGCCGCTCTTGATGGAGTCAGGGACTCTCACATTACTCCAGGAAGAGGTACATAAACCCAAACCCCAAGTCCAGTACTGTTGATCGTTGTTCTAGACATTGGCTAGCACTTTATTTTAGAATCCTGTGCATGTACTATGTACTTACTACAATAACTGGGTACCAACCCTGAACCTTACCTTATTAAATCCAAGTAAAAAGTAAGTGCACATACTGTAAAATGAAGTGGAACCAGACAATAACACACATTTTAAAGCATTCAGCCTCTTAATATTATTCACAATGCACTAGAAGGTGCAGGGGAGGACGGTGAGGATGATGACATGTTTGAAACCGAGTTTCGACAGTATAAGCGCACCTACTACATGACCAAGATGGGCGTTGAAGTCGTCTCCGAGTAAGTCTCCATTCATTTGAATTTTGGAAAGGATGGGAGCATGTTTTCTCTGCATCCGAAAATGAATAGTTCTATGAAGACTAATTTTCTCTTGTTTCATCTTGCAGTGAGTTTTTGGCCAATCAGGCTAGATGTTACGTGGAAGGGATCCAGTGGATCTTGCATTACTACTACCATGGAGTTCAGTCTTGGAGCTGGTAAGCTGAGAGACAGAGGGATTTATTTTTTTTTTTTGCAAATTATGCTTAAAAATAGGGCTGCATGATTTGGGAAATATTTTTGTTCTGTTTAAAAATAGCAAAATCCAGGTTTGCTGTGTTTGTTTGTTAATAATAATAGTCGTTGTTGTTAATATTAAAATATAAAATTTGTTTTAGTAGTTTTTATATTTCACAAAATTTTTTAGGAACGATATCATTTTATTTTACATTACAAGAGGAAAATGACAATGCTAATGTTTATGGCTGTCTTAATTTCTAACGTTTGTTATGACGGAAAACAACCCTTAAGCCCTTAAAGCTGCTTCTTTTGTTGATAAGTGCTTATTATTACACGTATGGGAAGCTGATTGGTCTATTTTGCGTTCTTAAATGCACATTAATATGAATAAATGCTTTATTACGATTAATCATGCAGTCCTACTTAAAAGTAGCAGGAACAAGAAAGTAAATTGGCTTGATTTTGATGTAATGTTGGTTTCAAAGGATCTTGCTCTCCTCTCAAATCACTACAGGTATTATCCGCACCACTATGCCCCCTTCCTTTCTGATGTGAGAAACGTGTCTAGTCTCACGTTGACATTTGATCTGGGCAAACCCTTCATGCCGTTCGAGCAGCTTTTGGGCGTCCTGCCTTCAGCCAGCAAAGACCTTCTTCCACGGTGTTACCAGGTGACACACACAACCCTCTACATTGCGAGTAAATCACTCGCATATGCGACTAAATCTTCACTCTGGGCGACTAAATGATGTCTAATATTAGCCAATGGCTAATAAATTCTTAGATTTTACTCGCCAGTGTGTGAGTTGGAGGCTGAGTATAAGTTTAGCACAGATATATTTTCACTCAGAACACTCTGACTGAGCGCTTCAGAGTTTCACTCTCCGTCAAGCGATCTGTGCTATTTATCATTTCATCTCAATGGATGCGCAGCGCACCTGTGTTTGTGTATCTGGCATAACGTAAACTCTAGTGTGAAGGCGCACGACTCGCTGACGCTTTCTCTCACACGCGCAAAGTGAGAGATAGCGAGAGAGTCTTACATAACATGCAGAATTGATGTGATACATGTAAACGTTTTATTTTCCTGTCAAAATAACGGAGTTCCTTTTGGAATTCTTCAGCTTTTAAGAAATGCCGGGTTTTCCGGTAGTGGGCAGAACTAATGCCAAATGACAATATCATTGGCTGGTGCTCACCTATTATTGTCCCTGTTTAGATTTCAGCAAATCAGTTCAAGCGAATGCACACAACCTGATTAATATTCATGAATCCAGAAGCTCGTTAATCCTTGGTGCGCTTTATATTGTTCTTATTAGTAGAATTCGTTTAATAATGATAATAATAATAATATCTTATCAGTATTATTGTTAGTTTTTTTTTTTTTCAATTTTTTACAGGAACACTGAATGACCAAAAAAAGCTTATATATAAGTATAGTATTTCAGTCTGGCGAGTAAACAAAAAAATGTACTAGCCAATGGCGATTCAATTGCCAAGGTGTCCGTAGAGGGTTGACACACACTTCGTGTCTCCATCATGTCATTGTTCGTTAGAAACTCTCCCTCATTTACTGACTTCTTCACAGCATCTGATGACGTCACCGGGCTCACCCATTGTTGAGTGTTACCCACAAGACTTCAAAACGGACCTGAACGGCAAGCAGCAGGAGTGGGAAGCCGTTGTGCTCATCCCGTTTATCGACGAGGTGCTTTAAACATCTGCATTCACTGTGTATCTCACCATAAAAGCTGTGATGGAAGTGCAGTTTCATGATATGATATGCGTTTGCATTCAGAAATGCTTGTTAGCTGCTATGGAGCCCTACACTCATAAACTGGCTCCGTCAGAGAAGGCTAGGAACAGACATACCGAGTGTGCCATCAACTGCTTTGATAAAGAGCTGGACTATGCCTACAACTCCCCCCTCCCCCAACTCTTCCCCAACATCGTCCACTGCCATGTCAGGTATGTCCTGAGTCTGCATGCCACAGTACATTTCATCCACTCACATGTTAACATGGTAATAAATAATAAATAAATAATATAATTAATAAATAAATAATAAATCATGCGGTCATTTTAATATAGTGTTATACTTTTGTGTTTACATTAACACTTTTCACTTTATAGTTACAGATCATTTTAATTATTATAATTTCTAGTTATTATTTGTTTTATTTTTGTACCTTCATTTTAATAAGGTGTCACATTTCTCTATTTACCTTTGCACTTCGCACTTTATAATTAAGATAAATTCTAATTAATATTACTAATTAATTATTATTATTATTATTATTATTTAATATTAATAATAATAATATATTGCTTTCAATTTAATATGGTGTCACATTTCTGTATTTACCTTTACACTTTATAATAAACAGATAAATTCGAATTAATATGACTATTTATTCTTCTCCTTATTTAAAGGGGTCATATGATGCTATTTTAAAGATTGCTTTTGCTTTCGCACTGAATCACACAGCGTCTCACTGACATGCTGCATCAACACTACTGCTGTTCCTGAAACCACGCCTTCTTTCTTTGCGTGCACATTTGGGCGGCATTATGCTAATATTTCCACATAGTGACATAGACATGTGGGGGTGTGTTAGAATGAGCCGTTTTAGGTAGGTGTGGTTGACTTAACTTTTATAAAGAATATCTCTTTGGATTTGAGACTTTAGTCTTTGCAACTTTACAGATCTTCTTTATGCACCAAGAGCTTGTAACACTCCAAAGAGAAAGGAAAACTTGAAATCGCATCATATGACCCCTTTAATATTAATTGTAAGAATATCTTTCCTTCATTTTAATATGGTATCACAATTCTGTATTTACCTTTACACTTGGCATTTTATAATTAACAGATACATTCTAATTAATATGACTATTTATTTATTTATTTATTTATTTACAATAATAATAATAATAATAACAATATCTTAATAATTTCTTGCCTTCACTTTAATATGGTATCACATTTATGTTTTTCCCTTTACGCTTGTCACTTTGTAATTAACAGATAAATGAATTATTTAATATCCATATTATTAATATTAATTATTTATATATATTTATAATGCGTAATGTTTTAATTTTAATGTTGTCACTTTTGTTTTTACATTTATACTTTACACTTCACATCAATACACTCTGAACAGTGTCAGCGCTTGGTTTATTTATTTGTCGTCTTTTGGAAATAACATCCACTGTGTTTATGTTTTTAGGCAAACGCCGATCCCAATGGATGCCTGGCGTGTATCACTGGATCATGTAGCGCGTAGGATTGACAGAGGAGCTCTTTATTTCTGTGGCTTCCCCACCTTACAGCACATCCGTCATAAAGTAAACAATCTTCAATCTGACTCTGCAGATTATTGCTTATTATCCTATTAATGGGGATCAGTATGTGATCATCACAGGATTAATGCTGATTTTCCTGCTGTATCTCTCACACAGTTTTATAAGAAGAAAAGTGGAGTGATGGTGTTTCAACAAAGCAGCAGAGGGGAGAACATGATACTGGAGATTTTAGCCAGCCAGGAAATGGAACAGGTGGGCAGTTGTCCCCTCACACTAAAGGCAGCTTGATAAAAATTCTAGACTTGATTTTTTTTTAAGTTTCTTAATTACTTTTTTAGGGCTATCTCAGACACTAAATGACATTTTGCAAGGTTTCTGCAGGTCTTAAGTCCTAAATTGCTCTCCGAAAAATTAAGGCCTTAAAAGGGAGTTCATTAATTCATAAAATCATTGCATGAAATGTTGCATGTTGGGAAAAAAATTCCTCTGTATTTTTTTTTGTTTTCTAATGTAAATAATTAAACATACTTAAATCAAGATACATTTGTTTGATATGCAAATTGAACGTGAAGTCTTGTTTTTTTTTTTGTTTTTGTTTTTTTGCTTAAATCAAATATGTGTCAGTGGGGTAGGAAAACATATTTTCCCTTTCAATTAAGTAGATTTAGAAATATTTAGACATTTGCATTGGAAAGCCAGTGTAGCTTTTTTGCAGTGCGATCAAAAAGTAAAGTTATTTTCTATATTCTATTGGTTGGGTGCAGTGACAATATTGACATAATTGTGGTCCATTCAATTTATTCCTTTTTTAAATTTTTTTTTTAACTTTGACTTAAAAAGTCTCTTTTAAATGTATGTTGTTTTATGGTAATGTGGTAATACGTTTCTCTTCATTGCAGGTGGAAGATGTTGCAACGCTGGTTCTCGGAAAGACTTTGTTCGTGAACTGGCCCCATTTGATGGAAGCTCGAGTTGTAGCTGTTTCAGATGGAGAAACGAAGTAAGTTTGTTTGTTGTATTGATATTTCTAAGTGATTTGCTGTCATATAGAGTCATGTAGCTCACTCAAACTCTCTCTTTTAGTCTGTTAATAGTGTCTCACTCCTACTCTGCAGGTTTTCTTTAGACGAACCATCAGGATCACAGATGTTGTATCTGGGTAACACTCCACCGCCTGCTAAAGTCACCCATCTGACTGATAAAGAGCAGAAGGAGTGGGTCAAAGAAGTGCAAGGCCTCTCAGAGCAGTATGCTGCCCTTTTATTCATGTTATTGGCACTTGTCTAATCGTAAGCTGCAATGTTTTTATCTGGCTGATACGTGACTTGCATGAGTGAGCTTTAATTCAATGTGTCAGTATTTGAATTTGAATTTTTAGTTTTAATGGTCGCTGTGCTTTTTGTTCAGCTGCAATTTACACCATTCATGCCTATAAGCCCTGGTATCTGTACAGTATTAACTAATTTTTCAATAGCAATCCTTAATCTTAGCTATGCACGTTCAGAGTCGTAGAAAGCTTTGCATATTTTTGAATTCTGTCATGTTAAGTGTCCATATGTAAAATATCACTTTATCTGCTTTTCAGCTTTAGCAAGCGCAAAGGCACTGTGATCAATGAGACGGATGTGGTGGTATACGCCCAGCTGCTGACAGGCAGGAAGTATGTCATTGGTCAAAACGGAAATGTCCATTTGGAAAAGCAGTTTGCCAAACAGGTCCTGCCCTATCCCTACCAGACCATTGTGAAGGTAAATATTCGCACCAGCCCAAAATTAAACAGGAATTCTAACCAAGAACCAGAACCTGCTTCTTGGGAAAAATGTAGAAGTTGTTCGGATGTTTTAAGTATGCTGTTTTTTCACTTCAGGATATCAAAGCCTTTGATTCATCATTGGCACGCTTCAAGACACTGGAGGAGCTGTTTCCCCCAGGAACCGTTGTCTTTATGGTTGCAAACCCATATTACGGCGCAATGGGAGATGTATGTACTGGTTTTGGTGCTCTCCAGACCAGCTGCTGTTGTTAAATGCCAGTTATGTAGGATTTTTTCTGTTTGCTTAGGTGCAAGACTCTAGTGATGTCATCAATGAGGGACGGGTTAGAGTGGTCTTCTCCGTACCGTGTGAACCTCAACTTGATGCCTTAATACAGAGCCAGCATGTAAGTCTCGAGTCTGTCAAGAAGTCTGTGCCCAGTATACTTTGTTTTTCTTCAGTTTATTTTTCTTCTATTTATTTTTCACACTGTTCATTTGACCTTGGTCTGCTTTTGTTTTCAGATTTTACCAATAGTCTTTTGTTTTTCAGAAATACTCTGTGAAGTACTGTCCTGGGTATGTGCTCGCCTCCCGCCTTGGTATCACCAGCTACCTCGTCTCAAGGTTCTCCGGTAGCATCTTCATCGGAAGAGGATCCAAGAAAAAGTCAGTGAATAAAACAATGCATACTTTTATTTATTTGATTTTTTTTTTTTTTTTCATTTTTTAATGTACTCTCAATACATTGCCTCTCAAGTATTCAGACCTTTAAACAATGATAGATCCAAGGTTTACATTTAGTCGCTGATATTTTAATTTAAAAGCACTGTATTTATCTCCGCAACAGTTTTATGTAAGAACTTTTAGGATTAGTTATCCATCTAAGGTTGTGATAAATTTCATAGGAATACACAATATGTCAGGATCTTGACAGTTATCGCCTGATATTGGGGTTTGTTTTTTTAATATTCTGGTGTCGGGCGATTTTGGTTATTTAATTGTCACTTCCCTTAGTTTTACATTTAGATTACCTTTGCCATCGTCTGACCACCACTTACAGTTAATCTTTAAAAACACTAGTAATTTAATAATTGTTCAATTTCAAAATGAATATCCTTTCTTCATACTACACATTTATAATGTTTGATGCCTAAATTCACTTGCAGAATTGAATTTTTTTTTTTTTTATTCAGACAATATTGTATAGCATTTCAATATCGGCGATTTATTGGTTCATAATATTCATAATATCGTTCATAATATTAAAAAAAACATATATATATTGGTACAGGCCATCATTTTAATAATTGTCCATCCACAGGATTTGGTTATTTCATGAACTATTCTTTTTATTTCCCTAAAAATGAATGGCTTTTGAATAAATGTTTCTCTGTACAGTCCTCATGGAGAGCAGAAAGCCAATGTGGGCCTTAATCTCAAGTTCAACAAGAAGAATGAAGAAGTTCCTGGCTACACCAAGAGAACAGAGAAAGAGTGGCTCTACTCTGCTGCTGTAGAGGACCTTTTAGCTGAATACTTAGAGAGGTGTGTATGTGTATTGGAGGTTGTGTGTGTGCTTGTGGTTGTACCTGTGGTTTTGCAAATATTTAAAAATAAATTTTGTCCTTGTCTCTCAGATTTTCAGAGCTCTTTGACTTTGTCGCTCGAAACAGTCACGATGACGTCTTTTACGAAGATGACATCTGGCCAGGAGAAGATGAGAATGGGTGTGTTTTGAATCTGTTTTAGACAAGCAGTAGTACGTAGAATGCAAATCCTCTTGTGATATTACTTTATTACCGATAATGAATCATTGTTCCAAATGCAATACATTTTCAGTATGCCAGACTTGATAATAGTGACTGTTTATCATTGTGATGCTTTAAATAGCGCTGAAAAGGTCCAGGAGATCCAGGGCTGGTTGAAAAACCATCCAGTCAGTTCCTCCTCCCGAGCTTCATGTGATCTCCAGATCCTGGACGCTGGCATTGTGGAGAAGATTGAAGAGGAGCTGGAGAAAACAAAGGTGGTGATCACATACAAACCTCAACAATCACAATACTTGTTCCTGTCTTTCTGTGGATGATGTGTTGATCATGTGTGGGTCACAGGCAAAGAAGATGAACAAGAAAGTACGAGTCACTGTAAAGCCCCACCTGCTTTTCAGGGTATGTGTTTGTCAATGTTTATATATTATATGTATTTCTGACTGGAGTAATGATGCTGAAAATTCATCACAGAAATAAATTAGATTTTAAAATCTATTTAAAAGTTAACTCGTTTATTTTTTAAATATTAGTAATTTTACACAGTATTACAGTTTTTACTGTATTTTTGATCAAAAAAAAAAAAGAGACTTCTTTCAAAGCCATTAAAAATTCTTACCAACACCAAATTTTTAAGTGGTAGTGAATGTGATTGTTAGACAGTGTTTTATACGCATCTGGTGTGTGTGCAGGTGCTCTCCTGGGCGTGGCTATCGACTGCCCCCCAGTGCCTTAATCAACCTGAGCCATGGCAGCAGAGGGCAACAGAAACTCGCCTCACAAAGCCCTCAACCAGAAAAACCAACACAAGGTATGAATTGTTTGAGGTTAATAGGCCTTACTGCTCTGGGGATTGTCCATGATCCATTAGAACACTTTTCTTTGTGTTCCTCTAGGGCTCTAGTAATGAGAGAGAGTTCAGTAATGTATGGCAGACTCTTCAGAGTTCAGGAATGCCCCAGAAACCACCAGCTCACTGGCAAATTAATGTAAGTAACTCTCTCTTAATCTGTGTGCTTGTGATCAGTGTTATTATCATTAACTAAAACTAAAAATGCTAAAAAAGAAAAAAAAAAAGTTTTTAACAAAAATAAATTAGAACAGAAAAATAAGGCTATTTTCTTTCATTTAGGTCCAAATGGAACATTTCTAATTTTTGTTTAAAGTTGAAGTACTAAAAAAAGTCAAACTGAAAAAAATAAATAAATAGGCATTTAAAAAAAGTAACAAAAAAAAAACAAAGACTAAGGACGAGGCTTGCAGAAGACTAAACAACAAAATTGCTTTTTAAAAATTTTAATGAAAATTTCAAAATAAAAACTAACTCAAAATATGAATAAATACTAAGAGAGTACAGTAATGATACTAAAATAGCACTGGTTATTATATGTAGTATATGACATTTACCTGGTGTTATTTTTGACAGGCTGGAAAAAGCAGTGGACTGATGCCACATCAGCACCAGCTGGAGGGAAAAAGTAAACAAAGCCAAGGCAACGACCCATCCAACAAACTTGTATGTTTTCCTATTTCATACACCACTGCACTATATAAGTCAGCTGTCAAGCCCTAGCATTTGATCACTGTCAACACTAAGATGACCTTTTACATTTCACATTTATACAGTAGCTTATATTCTAATATCAGGTTTTCTTTATTAGCTTTCTCTTTTATGTGGTATACTAAATGCTTAATACGTTTTTATTTATTTTGCAGGCCTCAGGTGGCAATATTAGACTTCTGAAGAGAAATGAGGATGTGACTATGGCTCTCGTACAAGGGCCTTCAAACAAGGTTTGTGGGGATGGTTTACCCAAAAATGAATATTGTCCTAATTTACTCTTCCTCGTGTCATTCCATAACTGTATGACTGTCTTTCTTTCTTCTGTGAAACACAAAATAAGATAATTAAAAAAGTCTGAGGGTTTTTTGAAAGTCATTGGGGTTCAATGTTATTAATGCCCAATGCCAAACACAAAAGACTGATTTAATAGATAAAAGAAACTCTTAAATGTTTGGAACAACGTAAGGATGGGTAAATTATGACAGATTTTTCATTTTTTGGTGATCTATCCCTTTAAGGACCTTGTATACTTGGTTGAAAACATATCAACATCATTTCAAACAGTGTTTTGGAAAGATAAAAGCTACAAATAAACCTGAACAAACAGCCACCAGGACAATCACTATCCGTTCTTGGCTTCCCATTCAATTCATATCTAAATAAAACCGACTTATGTGACTATGCAGATTACTGCAATTAAGAGGTAGATTGATATGCAGGTGCCAATCTACAATACACATTCTACTTTCACTATTGTGCATGATGTGGAAATGATTATATTAATATGACTCATTGCCAAAAAAAAAATTTGCTTTTTTTTTTTTATTATTATAATTAGTATAATACATTTTTTACTTATAGTATTTATATATTTACAGGCATCTACAGAATTTGAGGAGCTTATAGCCAATCTGAAGATCTCAAAGGATCCTGAGCCTGCCCAGAATCATCCACCTACAGAGCCCAAGGACCAATCAGGAGAGCCTCTTTCCCCACAGTCCTTTGCCATGGTGTGTAATCCATGGTTCTCATATCTGCAGCACAACAGAGTGAAAAAAAGTATGGTTATTTAAATGTCTTTGAATGTTTCAAGTTATTGTTTTTATTTTTTTTCGTTCAAGCAGAAGGGCACTCTGGTATTGAAAGAAATGTTGAAGATTGACAGCTCTGGACCAAGTTCCTCTGCCCCTGATTTCACTGGTGGCCAGGATTCAGCAAACCCCAATGCCCAACAGCAGAGCAGGAGACGCTCCAGCAAAAAACTAGGTACTGCATTGTGTCCAATCAGATCCAGAATCAGGCTTGTAAGATTTCAGGCTGTAGAACTTTACTTTGTTAGATAGATGATTAATTCTCAAACCTGAGATATATGCACAGTGAATAATAATAAGTGAATGTTCTCTGTCTCTCAGCTGCTCGGATAAATACTCCTCAGACTGATGCGCCAGCAGCAGCTCCTCCTCCTCCTCCTCCTCCTCCAGCTGGCCAGCCACCCCTCCTCCCCAGCATGGCCACTGAACTCGGGCGGATATGCATGGGGCTTGGGATGGGACCTCCAGAGTTCGCCTTCCTCCGCAACAGACAGGTTGGTTCATCTCTCAAACTCCACCTATATCTGTGTAGCCTAAGAAAGAAAAGAACCGTATCCATATGTCCATATAAATATAGATATGCAAAAAAGCCAATCATAATTTGGTTAGATCTTTACAAGAACTCTAAGCAGAAAGTTGGAGGAAGAACTTAATACCCAAAACGCTCAATACCCAAGCCATCATGATGAATGATTATTGAAAGTTCATATACAGATTTCAAGCCCACATTGGTATGTAGTTCAGTGAATAAGACCTAATGTTTTCTGCCGCCTCTTTCCGTCTCATTTGCTCTTTTTCTTGTTCTGTAGAGTCTCACAGTGTGTCAGGTGAAGTTGTCTAATGGCCTGCTGATTCACGGTCCTCAGTGTCAATCTGAAACTGAAGCTAAAGAGAAAGCTGCTCTCTTTGCCCTTCAACGATTGGTAACTCTCAGTGCAGAAATGATCAATGTGTATCAACTCAAAAAAAATTCAGTTTGATGAATTCAGTATTATGGTAGTACTACATGACTTTTCTTGTGATATAATGAATTATGTGTCTTAATGGAATATAGTACACTCTACAATAATTCTTAGTAAGTCCTTGTTGACTGCCGAATGAAATCATGTTGTCTTCTGCAGAACTCATTGGGTTCGTTCCCACTGCCTCCTCCCATATTCCCCGGAGTCCAGCAGATGAGGCCACTTGCGCCTCATCCCTCCATGTTTGGTCAGCCAGCAGGTCTGAGTCATATTGTCTATTTTCTGTTAAATCCTGTTGTTCTAAGGCAGATGTTCTTTACTTTTACACTTGATCTGATGTTTTGTTTGCACAGGTGGTCTTCTGATGCCGCCACATGGCTACAGACCTCTTCACTGGGGGATGCGGTTTCCCCACCAGGGCCAGCCGTTCTATGGAGGAACTTTCCCTGGAGCACGGGCCCCTGTGCCATCAGCGGCCAGCGGATCCCACAACCAGTTTGTTCCCCTACAGGTGAGAACTTCTTGATGATGTTGTCAAAAATATAGATTTTTTTTTATATACATATAAATCCTGAACATTTGAAACCGTTTCAGTACTCATTTCCCATAGTATCGATACACTGGTACTAACTGCACATTTCCGATATCAAGTTGATACACACAGTAGTGTGTATTTTTATTAATTATGAATATAGTCCATTGCGCTGCGTGTTTCAGAACGAAGCGTGACACTGTGATCATTTACACGTGCAGCTCATGATCCAGTGTTTTCAGCATCTCAAAGCGGGTTAGATAAATAGAATTTGAGCCACAAATAAATATAAAAAGAGGTTTAAAAATATTGAACAAATTTGCTAAATCATGTGGTGCAGGCGACATGCAAAGAAAAAACATGAATATCAGGTAATTATATGGCCCTCATGAATGTGCATCAAGGTCAAAATGTCTTTTTAAAATGTTAGGTTTGATCTGTTTATGACCAGTCAAGGTTAGTTCAGGTTGTAAAAATTCATGTGGTGGAACTCCCCAGAAACATGTATGATATTTATAAATACATTATATTTATAAAAAGTTCAATTTTCCCTTAAACTATACTTTAAAACTTTTTAGAAAATAATGAATATGTACACACATGTATTCAGGTTGTTATTATAGAATGTTGTATTTTTTTTGTATTTAGTTTGTTTACAGTACAATATTTCACTGTAGCTATAACATGCCTTTGTGTCTTTAGGTGACCAAGAAGCGAGTTTCAGGCAGAACCAAGAACCAAGAGGCAAAGCAAATGTCAGGAAGCTCTGCCTATGCTGGTCAGACCTCAGGCGGTGGACCGGCTGCTGCTGCTTCTGCCCCAGTTCCCGCATCAGCCCCCAAGACCCCCCCACCCATTAGCACCCATGAGCCTGCAGATAAGCCCACCACACCCAAGACGCCCAGGCAGAACACCAATCCTCACACGCCCGGCTCAGCCTCCAAGAGGAAACACCGGAAACTGGCGGTCAACTTCGAGGCTGCTAAAGTGACAGACTGAAATCATTTTCTCACACTATTCATCTCTCTCAAAGGAGAACACTGGCATTTCATAGTAAGAAACAAGATGCAGTTGTCCGTCTTCATGATTCGATCGTTTGGTGAGACAATGTATTTGTCACTGGCATCGAATTAGTTTTGTATTCGTTTTAGTTGCCATGTTTTGAGTGAAGGTAGTGCTGGAAAACATTTTTATTGATAACTGCACCAAAATGATCATAGAATCATGAAATGGGTTTTACATTTACCTCAGTGTTTTCCTTTCTTTTTTTTTTGACCCAAATCAGACCTTTAAGCTTTTATCATGTTCACTGGTTATTTTGTGATGCTGGATTTTAATATTCAGAGTGCAATAATTAGTTTTGTAGACAGGACGTTATGCACAAGGAAGTGATACGATGTGGCACAAGCTGCTGCAATACAACATCTGTACTCACATTTCATTTTTTCTTTATTGCACAGTTGCAGTCCAGCACTGAAGGATAGAGATACTATTATTGCACGGTGTTACTCGGAAGGCAGTAAAGCTGTCGGACTGAACCCTTGGATCTAGTTTCAGAGGTTCAAATTAAGACCAGTTCTATGCTCAAATATTTGTTGGAAGCATTCTATGGAATATTCCATAGACCTAAAGCAGGTGTTAAAACCAGCTCATTATGTTCACCAAGCCAGGAAGCACACTGATTTAAGCAAATGTAATCTCTGTGGATTTATTGTGTGTGTG